CGGACAGTGCTAAAGACACGAGAGACCAAAAGAACCCAAGCCCACCTGCGGTGCAGACTCTGGCAACACGGGGGGCTGGCACAGCGGAGATGCCCAGGCGCGCGAGAAAAACTGCGGTCTTCGAAGTGCTGGGAATGCCGAATGGACGCTCAGCGGATGCCAAGGAACAAAACTGCGCGCCTCAACCTGGCACCTCAAACTTGCTTCCCCATTACCCCTTCGCAGTCGCCAACGCGCGTTTGTGAGGGCAGAGAGCGAGGACGTCGCTGCTTTGGCATGGCTCGCACTTGTACACACCATCTAACGCACGGGCGGCGCGGCGGCACCTCCGATGCAAGCGTAGACAGTGCGGTGGAGGAAGCACTCTTGCGTCAAACCAATAGCCGCAGCGGCGGGCAGCCCAGCTCTGGGCATTCGGATGGGGTTGCTGTCGCAAGACTTGGGAAGGACGCAGGGGCTGCCATCTAAAACCATGCCGCATCCCAACCCAATCACGGACGCAGCCATAGGCGCCCGTTGACGCGGGCAGCGAAGGCGCCATTGAAACCCACCTGCTCAAGTCGATTCCTGAAGGCTGCCGCAGGTGCCTCGGTCGCAAGAGTTGCGGATCTTGCGTCGCTCTCGAGGGCTGTGCAAGATGGCGGAGACTCTCGCCGCGGCTCCGCTATTTATACGCCGGAGGCGTCCCCGTCGCCGGCACCCGGTACCCGATACAGGACTGGCCAAAGCCACCGGGCCGGCCCGGTGTCCCCCCTGCACCGCCTGTCTTGCAGGACGTGTCGCTGCACGTGATCCGACGCGGATGTTTGTGTCTTGGAAAATGTGGCACGATGCGCGACCTCGATTCATCGATGTGTGCGTTTCGGATGCGGGCGTGCCCGTTGTCGCTCGCGAGGCACAAGGGCCCCGCTGTCTTGGGAAGTGCTCGTTCAGATCATGCTTTTGTGTTTCGTTAGGCCTCGCGGGACATTGTCCGAGTTGAGGCTCTTTTTCTGCCGGACACCTTGTCCTAATTGCCGTGCTTTAGCCAGAAGTTCCCGGAGGCACTGGCAGAAAAGGTCATGCTTGCGATGCAAGATGCGATGCCATTTTGACACAAAGTGGTGCCGTCACAGTGATTGCGACGGAATAAAAGTGGCTGTTATGGCATCAATTTGTGTCAAATGGCATCACAGATGGCATCGCAGACAGGCTGTTTCCTACTGGTGACACCAGTTTGCAAGCGCCATGCAACTTTGCGAGTGAAGGACTACAACAGGCCGTTGGCTCCTAGTACAAGGCTCAAACAGCCCCCGTATACTCTTCGAACTTCCAACTGTCAAAGTTGCTGCTCCTCTCCCTGTGCCAGAAGGGCAAAAGAGACACTGTATTTTCTTTCGCCCTACTGCCATTGGGAGAGGAGCAACTGCGGCATACTCATGCCATTCTTCCCCAAAGGCGCTTTTGTCGGCTGCAGTTTGTCGCACCAATTGGCAGGTCGTCTTCTACAAGGTGCGTCGCAAGCACTGGAGGCGATTTGATTCCGGGGGACGGCGCCTATGCACCGCACTTGGTTTGGAACATTCCATATATATTCCATATAATGTATTATGGAACGCTCCCTTATTAAGGGTGCGCAGCTTCAAATCTAAGTACAGCTGCAATTGCCAGTTCCAAGTTGCAACTTGTAATGGTTGCTATATACACATATACATAGGTGGACCGCAAGAAATCTCTCGCATTTTAATGTACACAGCGCTGCAATTCGTCAAGTTATCACGGCGGCAAGCTGGAAAGCGAGGCGGCTGCTCTAATTAAATGACGATTTTGCACCGTCAAGACGATGAACTTTAACAAATGGTAGCGATTAGCATGCAGTTGCTCTGCGTACGATACTACAGTTCTATGTAGTGCAACTGTGTGACGGGTGCCAATAGGTGCCATTTCCACACATGTGAAAAACTAGAGTCCCTCAAGACGAAATCTTTGATTTTCGCGTGCCCGAATTAGGGCGCTTCTTGGCGTTTTCTGCAGCACATATTGCGACAGCCTTGCAGGAACAGTGGTGCCAGCAAGTACTGCAAAGTACTTGAGCCTAATACCGCATTTTCCAGAGGAGGGTTTTGTCTGAACTAAGTCCCTTCTGGCGTTTGAGGCCCGGCGGCGCCATTTGAAACCTAGGTGTTGAACAAATTAGATAATTCGAAACAAAAGTGGCAATTCGGAAACAAAAAAAAACTTAGCTCAGATCCAGGGATATTGTGGAATGAGACGGTCTCGAATCGAGCCAGTGATCTGAAGTTAATTCAGACACAAGTCGTCTTTTGTTGTCCGAATTGGCGATCGTCGATTCGGACACAAAAGAAACGCTGGTCTTGATCGCTAGCTCCAGCCCCTGAGGCCAGCCGCTTGCCAACGTTTTCAGCCCCTCCCCAAAGCCTTTCGCTCTCCAGCTGGAGACTGCGGTCTTCACCCTGGCACTTTGGACTCCTGGCCCACAGTTCCTGGAGATATTTAGGGCCAACCACTGGCCACAGTAGCCTATGAGGAGAGCGGGTATGTTGCGATATGCCAGGGCACTTGTTGCAACAGTTGCCTCACGGAATAGCAAGCAATTTTGACAACGGGAAGAATCTAGGCGGCAAGGCGAATACAGTGCACTTGATGCTTTCATGTAGGTACCTGAAAGAAATTCGGAGCGAAGAAACTTTGTACCGGGCTGTCTCTGCTGGTAGGGTGGCAAGTGCCGATGTGTATATATTTTTTTATTGTATTTGCTGAAAATGAGACCGTGCTGCTCTTGCACCTGCAAAGCGATTTTTTTACAAATATGCACAAGCCGCAATGGGCCGAGGAGCAAAACTGCAGCAACAAACTGAAAAGGCACAGAAAAATGCTCATCTGTGCATACGAGCTCGGCTGAACCAGGAATTTCTGCCCAGGACATCGGAATCAAGGTGACCCTTCCCTTCCTCTGCTGAAAGAAAATTTTGGTGCAGTCTTGTTCAAGTATTACATGTATACAACAAGTAATAGTAACGACAATGGGGCTGTTTTACTTGCTTGGATTATGCACGGGTATCTTTTTCCATCCCCCGAAATGCACATATGAGTGTACTAGACAATGAAATGGAGGTAAAATTTCGGGTGGGGTGGATTCGTGCTTTCCAACTTGCGCTCTTCCTCAAGCAGTAACACAAGCCAAGATCAACCTAGTTGAACTCAGCCAAGTCAGGCTGACTTAACTACAAAAATTCTCTCAAATGTTGAACTTGTGTAACCTTCGTGTATGAAAATAATGAAGTACGCATCCGGGTGTCCACGAAATTAGCAGTGTCTCATTAGGGTCGTGGAATGCGCCTGTGCACATGGCGACACATGTCGTCCTCTGAAAATCTCAAATACATGAGATTTAACTTGTCAATACGGTCATGACATCCTCGAAGTACATCGGAATGATCTACCCCACCCTGCGCGCGGCACTGGAGGCGACATAGGCACAAGGATTGGCGTTGATAGGTGCCTTATCGAGGCCGACTAGAGCAACAACAAGCAAACAACAGTAGAGGAGCTTATCAGGACCAATTGATTGCAATTACCGTCTGTCAAAATCTAATTTGCATTGGAAGCTATGATTTTTTTGGGGTCGACGATATGCAATTCCTGGCTTTCCTCCAAGCAACGTTTGCCGAAGTCGGATACTCTATGATTGGCAAGGCAAATCTCACATGTTGATGCTGAACCCTTCACTGTCCCGTTCCGATGAGAACAGCGCCCAATACAGCAGGGCCGGTCTGCCCGCCGTCGAGAACGCCAACGCCTGAAGCCAAGCTTGGTATTTGCTTTTAAAACGCCATTTTTGCGGTTATGCATATATGCGCAAAAACGCCTAAATTAAGAAACGCTCATTTTGCGGCCATATTCACGAATCATTCCGTCGCGTCGACACACCCAGGTTACATGATGAAGTCATAAACAATGGTCAGTCTCCCCCCCCCCCTCCCCCGGGAGCACCAGCAACACAGAATCCACCTCGCCCTCGGCAAGGGCAGTGGCGTTGCCAAACAAACGGTAGTCCTCTTCCCTGTACAGTGCGCTTGGCTACCACTCGCCGGATTCCCTGAATCTGTTTGTACACAGGGCCCATATTACGCATTAAAGAGCTTTTTGGCGTTCAGACGCTAAATTGCTTTATCGTGTAAATGTGTTTGTAATTCACGAGTGTCTGCGCCATCAATACCATGCCTGCCTGCACATTTGCAGGGCAAACAGTGACGGCTGCACAGCCTGAGCCCTGGGCAATGCTCGTTGCATGGATGGGGGCATATGGCCAAGGTTAGCACCGTGCGCCGTAGCGCACCACTACTGCCTGCTGCACAAACCATTTTTCGTTAGAAAGTGCGTGGGCACAATCATGCTTCTTGTGCACGTCTGGGATAGATAATAGGTATCCATCTAACCAAGAGCTCCATGACTGCAGTGCTTATGCCCCTTCGCCTTCCAAAGAACAAATCTTGGCTTGGCGACGAGATGTGATGGCACATCAGATGGGGCATCATCTGGGCGGCATATTCGGTTGAATCAACAAACAGCACAGCCCTCGATGCTCACTCAACGACTCGGTTGCACTTGCTGCAAAGTGTGTTTTTCTTCTGAGCATTGACGGGTACACCCTTGTCGTCATATTCCACATTTTCTTTTTGTCTTTGATGGGTAGGTGGCAGATTAATACAAGGAAACGGTGACGTCGTTAGTTTTCTTCGGACAAGCAACAAAAACAAGTTCAAGGTAAATTTTTAGGAACTGATTGGTGGTGATGCAGAAAGCCAGATGGGAGGCCAGTGTGGAAACTCTTCCTTGGCTGGGCGCCGAGGGGCGTCTCTGGGCGGCGGGGCGTCATGTAAGTCCCCCAGCTGCCTCTGACACGACTTGCCGGCGGTGCCCCTTTTCGCCGATGCCCCCCGTTCCGCCATGCCGCACCGCTTCAGCTTTCGCGACGCACCCTGTGCGGGACGCGCTGAATGAGGGCGATTCAGCACGTCAATGCAGCAAAGGTGATGAGTCGCGGCTGGGTATGCGTCGGCAGGTTGAGGAAGGGGTGGTGCGACGGCTCCGCGCTGCTGTACCACGGTCGCGCCGATGTGCTGCGCTCGCGGCGACCCCGATCGCTGCACGTCTGCCTCTCCGTCGCCGCGGACGCAAAGGCGGACAAGGCCAAGCAGCCGAAGGCCAAGGCGGCCAAACCGGCGCAAAACGACAGGCCGGTTGAGGAAGGGGTGACTCCCAGGAGTAAGGACTTTAGCAGGTAAATTCTGGAGGCAATCAGTGTGATTGCGTTCGGCGCAATGTGGCAATGCACACTGCCCATTGGTTCTCTGCGCGGACGGTCTATGTGCGGGGGTCTTTCTTCGGATTGCCTCATCTGCGGACAAGACAGCGTCAGCCAAGATCCCCTAGCAGGTCCTTTTGCGCCTGCCAGGGGATGGTAGGTCTTGTAAATCCTGATGGTTGCTGTCCAGGCTTTTGAGACCAATCAGGTGGGGCCGGAACGTCTTATAGCACCGTTTGTATGGACTGCCCACTAAATTTGTATGCACTGAGACTGTAGCATGTACAGGGGGCTGAAGAAGCCATCAATCGAGATGAAGTAAACTGATGCATCACCGCAGAAGGCAATGTTGTGGTTGCATTGGGATTCGAAAACCTAAAAACACGACTTGGAGTATTGTTTGTCTCCGAATGTGCCACCCTTTAGAGGACAACCCCTCACAGATATTGTTTGTGCAGGGAACCAATGGACAGCCCTTGAATGCTCTTGCTCGTGTTTTTGTAGCTGGTCGAATTCCATGGAGTGGAGTTCCCAGAATAGCCTTGCCAAACAAAGCCCTTGCACCTGGCAACATTGACAATTATAACACTGGTGAGATTTGGACGTGCAATTGCATTGCAAATCCCATTCAACATTGCTCGTCTGGATAGGCTTGGAGTTGGCAACGAAACACTTATGTTTATGGCAGAATAATGTCCAGCACCTGCAAACCTGCTCAAGGTGCACAGCAGCAATAGTGTTGACAGAGCATCATGCTGAAGAAGCACTGTTCAGTCCACAAGCTGCAGTCATGTGGTGTGCTTGATGGTTTTGCTCTCTGATGGGCTGAAACCATTGGTATGAGCTCTGCAGCTTGAGGATGCTGCCAACGACCAAAATGGTGGTCTGTAACAAAGGGGTGCCAGCAGTGTTTCTATTTTGCACATCTGAAAATTTGCAGGAATTCAGCAGCATTTTTCTTGTGTTCTTGCTCGAAATGCATGGAGTTAAACACTAATGGCACTATGTCTCCATCTTGTGTTGGCAAGCCTCGCATCCTGGCCACAACCTGGAAACACATCCCCTGATTGGCCAGGATTGTCCAGACAAAACTGAGAGAAGAGATAAAAGAGATCTATGAAGTTCGTAGTATGAACCCAAATGCACAAGCTGTACAAGACACTTATTGGGTGCATGCAAAAGATAACAGAAAAGGGAGACCCTGTGGATGCAGGTGTTTCAGAGGGCACGTGGTGCCATCACTGGAAAGTGTGCTATATCACCAAGCTAGTGTACAAATCTCCACATTTGCCCCGAAGGTTGGACCAATTCCCTAAATGTAAATAAAACGGAAGGGCGGATGAAGACCACACCTGTGTGTGCTTCTGCAGATGGTACCTCGATGTTGTTGCCAAGGCAGAGCTGGTGGACTATGGCCCAGTGAGGGGCACCATGGTCATCAGGCCATATGGATACGCAATTTGGGAGGCGTTGCAGCGGTACTTGGACAAGAGGTTCAAGGAGACGGGTCACCAGAATGCCTATTTTCCGCAGCTAATTCCCTACTCATTCATCGAAAAAGAGTCAAGTCATGTTGAGGGATTCGCTCCTGAGCTTGCACTTGTGACAAAAGGTAGTGGCTTGTTTGGCATGCAACAGGGAATTGGAACACGAGCATCAGGGGTCTGCAGTGGTGCCTGTGGGTAGTGCTGAGTATGCCCCCTATCAGAGAAATTTTGACAGTGATCTGTTAGTAGTGAAGAATGCATTCATTGAAGATTAATGCCACTGGTGTAAGAAGTCAAGTCCCGGGTGTGCCTGTATGCTGTATTGCCGTGCCAGATGCACTGATGGGCCATTGGTCGTCATGGGACTTGACATTGTGTTGCTCCATGTGGAGAACAAGGGCTGCCTGTGCAACCATCATTCAAGAGATCCTTGGCCGCTATATTGATACGTTGACCATGAAGAATGTGTGTGTCCTATCCTGCAGGTGGCGGCAAGGATTTAGAGGAACCCCTGGTTGTGCGACCCACCAGCGAAACAATGGTGAACCACATGTTTTCACAGTGGATCCACAGCTACCGGGACCTGCCGGTCCTGATAAACCAGTGGGCCAATGTGCACAGATGGGAGATGCGCACGAGGCCCTTCATTCGCACACTGGAGTTCTTGTGGCAGGAAGGCCACACAGCACACGCAACAGTGAGTGCACAATGCGTTACATGATGTTTAACCGGTTCCTTTTCAGTGCATGAAGGTGATATGAACTCACACCATAGAGGAGGGTTGTACCTGAAAGCAATCACCAAAATGAACTGCTCATACTGGGAGTGTACTTGAAAATTGTCCACACGTTTGAGCACTTCGTGCATTTGTGCATGTGCGCATCTGAACATGACAAGGTGTAACCCTTGCACCTTCAGGCTCAATGGGGCTCCGGGGACTTGCTGTAACTTGTTGGCCGTGAGTGGCACTGCTGCAGTGGCAGGTGGCCATGCGA